TAAAAGCATTTGTCTTTGGGGGGGTCATTTCATTTGGCATAAAGTCTTCAGGGTGTATCTACATTGTAACATTCTAACGTGTCAGAATTTTAATACTTTTTAAGACTAAATATTCTGTTGTGTTGTATGTATAATCCACATATTGCTTATCCATTCATTCACTGATGGACACTTGAGTTACGTTTTAGAGTTCACATCTCTCTGCTGAGATACATACTCAATATTTTTAAATTAAATTATAAGGTATCTGATATTTGCTTTAAAATACTCCTGGCTGGGAGAAAAGAGCAGTGGGACTGGGGAGATAACAGATGAAACAAGGTATCACTTTTCACTTACCAGAGCAGAAAAGATCAGAAACACTGATACTACCATGTATACTGCCAGGATATGGGGAAACAAACTTTCTCATCCATTATTGGCAGGAATGTAAAATAATTTCTTTGGAAGGCTCTATCAAAGTTGAAATTGCACATTTCCTTTAACCAAGATATAACTTGTAGGAATTTATCCTCACACATATGCTCACACACATATGAAGAAGTGTATACAAGAATACTGACTGCAACAATGTTTACAACAGCTCAAGTCTGGAAATGTCTCTCAGTAGGGAACTGACCGCAAAAATCATAGCACATTACAAAAACATGAAAATACAATGAAATATTATTTAACTTTAAAAATGAAGCAATTCTACTTTTGGGATAGTGCCCATAAATATGATAAGGGGAAAAGAGCAAGGTACTGAAGAAAATAACTCTATTCAACCAGACATTTACATGGTTCCATTTCTGGCTACCACAAATCAAAAAACCTAAAAACCTCCCACAGCACAGGCCAGGCACCATACTGTGGCTCACAACTATAATCCTAGCCCTTTGGGAGGATGAGGCAAGTGGACCACTTGAAGCCAGGAGTTCAAAACCAGCCTGGCCAATATGGTCAAATATCATCTCTACAAAAAATGCAAAAAAAAATTTCAGCTGGGTGTGGTGGTGTGTGCCTGTAGTCCCAGCTACTTGGGAGGCTGAGGTGGGAGATCACTTGAGCCTGAGAGGTTGAGGCTGCAGTGAGATGTGGTATCATACCACTGCACTCCAGCCTGGGAGACACTGCAAGACACTGTTTCTTAAAAAAGGAAAAAAAGAAAAAAAAAGAAACTAAAAATGATGAATAAATTATAACTAATCTCTTTTAAATACATAACTAAGCTCAAAAGAAAGTAAGGGAAATCTCTTACTGAGGGATAGGATGGAGAAAGGCACCTTTACTTTTTACTTTACCCACTTATTTTTATGTTATAATCAATGTGTATTACTTCTGAAATTAAAAAAGAATGAAAGCACTCTGAAAAAAGCTGCTATGGATTTAATAATCAATGCCATCTCATGAATAACTAAAGCCATGTAATCTTACAGCAACTTTTCAGGTATAGTAGTCACTATTTTTATCCAATATTACTGATACCTACTAAGTACAAGAGACTGTGCTGGCATCTGGTTACTAGCAAAATGAAGTCCTTATCTTTTAAGGAGCTTAGAATATGTGAGGAAGAACAAGCAAGGAGACAAAAATATCTGTAATATAGGACAGAATGAAACTCATCATTCTCTGCATCAAAATTTGAGAACTAAATGTTTAAAATCCCAGTTTCTGGTTTAGTACCCCATCAGAGCCCAAAACCAGCTAGTCAGACATTACAGTTGACCTTTGAACAACACTGGTTTGAACTCCAAGGGTCCACTTACAAGGAATTTTTTTTAAATCAAACATGGATCGAAAATACAGAATTCATGGATCTGAAACCCACACACATGAAAAGCAGACTTTTTTCATAGCAGGATTTCAGTATACGATGGAGAGTGGGTGAAAGGTGGGTATCCTGGAACCAGTCTCCTGTGTATACCATATACTGAGGGACGAATGTATTTGAGACTTTCGATTACAGGTTATTTTGTTTTATTTCATTTTGAGTTCATCCATCCATAAGCATTTGAGACAGTGGCTGCACTTATTCACCAGTGGCAAAACTGTAGTTATACATACAGTTATCAGTACATAGCCTTTGTGATCTCATCCCACAAATGAATCCTCAATTGTTTTCTTCCTTTGGTCTGCTAATACCGTCACATTGATCACATCAATACTACTCAAAATGACTAATTCCTCTTTATAGTTCTATAATTGCTAATTTGAAAATTAAATATAAATACAGCTGCGATGGATTCAAGACTCTTCTCCATCTCCAATCACAGAACATCCTATAGGCAACAGACACTTGTGAAAAGGATTATGTCACAGCAAGATTTTCCTCATTTACTAAGAGCACAAATATGGGGGGGGGAAGGAATTCTTCCTCTAAAAGTGACTAAAGCATGAAATTTACAAAATTTTACAGCAGTTAGAATAAAAACCCCAAAATCAATATACATTCAATCTTTGGCAACATAAAGGCATTTTTAAAATATCAAAAACTGAGAAAAGTTCAAACATTCTGTTCATGCCAGGGTAGTCCAGCTTTGCCCATGAGGAACACTGTTATAAGCTGTTGATGATTTCCAATTCTAAGAAGGTTCCAGAGGCAGCCTTATAAATTTAGGTTGCAGAGCTGGTCAGCATCACCTATGTCTCGAGGCAGTAATTTAGTTGTTTAGTCCAGAAACATTATTCTACCCAACCCAAGCAATTATAAAAATTTCAGAATAACCACATGGCCACAATACTGTTATTGTTCAATCTTGTCCTTTATGAAACTGGATATGGCAACTGCTGGGACATACAGGCAATAGCTGTGGTTTCAGATAGAGATAATAAATCTTTAAATATTATGTATCAACTCATAGAGGGTTTCCAGGCTGGGAGAACAGTATTTATCTATGAGACATCAGTAAAAGCAAATACTATGAGGTTAGGATGTTGACTCTCTATAGCCTGGATGCCCTAAAACTGTATGAATATCAAAGAAACTCACCAACATATTTCTGGTAGTACACTGAAGCATCACAAGCAAGCAGACTTGCATCTCACCCAGGACAACCTGATAATTACCACTATATTCCAAAAGTGAGGAAAGAACTAACATTATTTCCTATCTTCAAGGAGGCTTTTCTAAATGCTAACCTAGTCCACGAAGTAAAAATGTTTAAATATCAGTAAAGGATTGCTCCAACTCCTGTTCTGATGTGCCTCTTTAAAACAAAAAAGTTTAAAAGAAAGAAACAAAGGCCCATATAAGAATAGCATATTAAGAAGAAAAAAAAAAAGACCAAACATAGTATTGAAAAGAAGAACCAATAAGAATGCTATTTAGTAGAGGCAGTAGAGAGAAATGGTTGACTAGTCCAGCTCTTGAGCCCTGGAGCCTTGCTTACTACCTGTGTGATCCTGAGCAAGTGTTTTAACAGCCCTAATTTCCTCTTCTGTACAATGAGAATAAAATAACAATCTCAGAGTCAAAGAATAAATAAGTTAAATCACTTATAACAGCTAGAATGTGGCCACTTTTAACCAAACAGATAAAATTCCAAAATTTTAATACTACTCTGTTGATGAGGTTTTTGGAAAACAGGTAGTCTCACACAGTAACTAGTACTAAGCCTTAGGCAGGGCAATTGGGTAATCCCACTTTTGAGAATTTATTTCACTGACATTTTTGCACGGGTGGGAAAAGACAGATATATACCACGTTTTTGAGTTTATACTGGAAAGCCAAATGCCCATGAAGAGATATTAAATCAAGAATGCAAATTCACAAAAAATTAAAAATGAAACTTAAAAAGGAATGGCAAATTCATAACATGAAACACTATGCAGTGGTTTTTTAAAAAAAAAAACAGAATGAGAACACTGATTTATTAATGAGAACACTGATATTGAAATACATCTAAGATAACTAAAAAATGCAAAATGTAGAACAGTGGACAGTATGTAACCCTTTGCGCAAAAAGAGACTGAAAAACTAAGAAACACACTTGCTTGTTCTGCAGTAAGAGAAACTAAGCAAGAAGGAACTGGACAGGTAGAAGACTGGATGAGAGAAAAATTTCCGTGTGTGTGTGTGTGTGTGCGTGTGTGTGTATTTGCTTTTTTAGCGATATACTTTACCTATTCAAATATTAAATTTTAAAAAGTACTTTTAAATTGTCAGAGTACAGTTCAAGAACTCAAATGTTAGCTGCAATTATGTTATTGTCATTAGCAAGTTCAAAAACACCTCCTTTCTGAAGATCTTTTCTTACTCTGCCTGCACAGAAACCTCCTCTCTCTCCTCTAACTCCCAAGTTACTGTTTAAGGAATGTATTACTTTCTACTCCAGTGCAAGTAGAGTAAGGGATTGGTCAATCTTTCATTCATTTTTAATATCCAAATAGCCTTGCTTGCACATAGTAGGTACAAACATTTTGGAGTAACAGTAACCTTACGAGTAGTCCGAAGAAGAAGGGACCATTTATAAAAAGATTACACCTGCATTAATCTTAAGACCTGAAAATTGAAGAAGTTTAATAACTGGTAGCAACTAGTAGTTGCTAACGTTCTTTCGAGTACTGTCCAGCCAAAATTGCCCCTCTTTCACTTTTTCCTTTTTTCTCATACTGTCCCTGACACTGACATCATGTTCCAAGCCAAGACCCCACATGTACCAACTCTCTGTAACTCACTGCAAACTCTGAAATGTTTTATTTTCTCATAAGTCCCAACATCTGGTGTATCGCTTCTGTCAAAAGGACATTTGCTGTCTCCTCTTAGACAGATATTCACATATCAGTGAGTGAACAAACTACCCTTAACTGGAGAAGACCTAATACTTGATTCGTAATTCGCTCAGTATTTTGTTTGCTCTCCTGGTATGGAGGGTATTCTGTAACTGACTGCTCAGTAGCCCAATTCTAAATGTCATTCCAGCATACCAAATACTCCACTGACAGCTCAACAGTCACTTTTCATGCAGGCCCCTCCCCTTCCCTCCTCCCTCAACCCTCAAGAGCTCCTTCTCTCTCACACTGACAGACACACTGGCAGTTCAGAAGCCCTTTTCCTCAACCGTCCTTCCCTGCACGTACGTACAAGACCACCTCCCCAGCTCTCATCATCCCGAGAGCCAATGCGGTCCCCAATAACACCCTCCTCCAAGCCAATCCAAATCACAACCTAAGTCTCTTCCCAAGAACCAGGCTTTACAGCCTTTCCCAACAAGTACACAATTGACAGCTCGACACGAGCTTCCCCCAAAATCCTTTCCCCCTCACTCCCCTCCCACCCCATACACTGGCTCTTTCCTCGCTATCATTTACCCAACCTGGCTTCCCCAAAATTCACAGCCGGGTTTCTTAAACAAGCTCTCTGCTCTCCTCTCCTCCCTCCTCCCCACCCCCTTTCCACAGCTGACAGCTCAGTCACCTCCAACCCCCTGTGGCTGCATCCTCCCCCGCACCCTCCCCTTGACAGCTCAGGGTGGGCTCCCAGTGCCCCGCTCCAGGCCTTCCCGCGATGCCCCCGACGCAGGGTCGCCTCGCCCGCGGGGAGGGCTCCACTCACCCGCTCTCCCGCATCACGTTGCTGTCCCCGCAGTCGCACGCGCCCCCGGCCTGGCTGCGGAACATGTTGAAGTCGTGTCCGGTGTGGTCACCCTGGTGGAAGCACTCGGCGCACAGCGACATGCAGGGCGAGATGCCGCACGTCCGGCAGCGGTAGGCCACGAAGTTGGCTGTCCAGACCAGGCCGCAGAGCGCCGCGGGATCGTAGGCCCGGACCGCCGCGCAGAACTCGTCGTAGCCGCCGCCACCCGCCAGAAGGCACTTACACCACTCCAGGGCCTCCTCTTCGGCCGCCCCCGGACCACCCCCGCCTCCGGTCGCCGCCGCGTCCTCGCCGCCCGCAGCAGCGGCCAGCGGCCGCTCGGCGCTCAGCACCCGCTCCAGCAGCGCCTGCAGCTCCTCAGCACCTGCGCGGTTGTCCGGTCGGCTGAGGGCCGCCTTGAGGTGCGCGGCGGTGGCCGCCTTGTCTAGGGCCAGCCCCGACGCGGCCAGCTCGGGCTGAGACTGCTGCTGGCCCCCGACGGCAGCCGCGGCCGCCGCCGCCATGATGAGAGCTCAGAATTTGGAGAGTCCAGGGCCGGTGGTTCCTCCGGGGAGAGTGGGGAATACACTGCTGCGATTGCTCGGGCCGCCCAACTCTCGCGATACCCGGAGCGGCCGAGCTCCTCCGCCCTCGGCCACGCCCCTGCACACGCCCCCTCGGGCTGCAGAGCCTTCTTCTCCCCGCCCCTCTGGCCTGGGCGCCCAGTGGGCTCCTAACTTTCCAAGTTAAGAACTACTGAAATACTCATCTTATAGGAAATCTCTAATAAGGGCAAGTATTTCTTTACTTGCATAGACTACAGGAATTATTCACAGCATCTTTCAGATGTATTTTAGGCATCTGCATTTTGTTCTGAGATGTGCATTCCTACTGTTATCAAAGTCCAGCCTGGGCGATGGTGTGAGACCCCAACTTAAGGGAAAAAAAAAAATTGTAGGAAGAGCAGTCCAAAGAAGAAGGCCGGGCGCGGTGGCTCACGCCTGTAATCCCAACACTTTGGGAGGCCGAAGCGGGCGGATTATTTGAGGTCAGGAATTAGAGATCAGCCTGCCGACATGATAAAACCCGTCTCTCCTAAAAATACAAAAGTTAACCGGGCGTGGTGGCGCTCGCCTGTAGTCCCAGCTACTCGGGAGGCTGAGGCGGGAGAATCGCTTGAACCCAGGATGTGGAGATTGCAGTGAAACGAGATCACACCACTGCACTCCAGCCTAGGCGACAGAGTGAGACTCCATCTCCAAAAAAGCACAGGGGTGTTTCCAATCCGTAACCTTGTGTTTGAAATGAATGAAACATAATTAAAACATGTCATTTTACCGTCCTGGTTTTCTACATTAGTTAAGTACTTCACAATCCTAACAGTGATAAGTTAAATTTGCTCAATAATTTTCTTTATGAATCACTGAATTATAAACCAAATAAAGCTTCATGTCTTAACTTTACGTGCTAAAAACTGTGTTTTAACTCATTTGATTCTAACAGGCAACTTTGAATTCTACTATTCCTAGGAAGTAGCAGCCTGGGACACTTTTCTACTTCGTCATCACCCATTCACTCTTTTTCGTTTTCCTTTAATAATGCAGAGGTGTCCATCCTCAGGCTTAAAGGCAATCCTTTTACTTAAGCATTGGACCCTGCCTTCTTAGGATCCCAACTCCATCCAATATCCTCTTGTATTTTAAACCTCTCTCTATTAGCTCAATCGTTTCAGAATTTGTCTCCTCCTATCTTAAAAAAAAAATTGAAAAAATAATTAGACTTCCCCCAACCTTACTATCAACCATTCTCTTCTTTTCGTATGCCACATTTCTCTTTCTTTCTTGCCTTTTTTTTTTTTTTTTTTCTCCAGGCTGGAGTGCAGTGGTGCAATATCGGCTCACTGCAACCTCCGACTCCCTGGCTCAAGGAATTCTCCTGCCTGAGCCTCCCGAATAGCTGAGATTAAGGCACGTGCCACCACGCCCAGCTAATTTTTGTATTTTTAGTAGCGAAGGGGTTTCACCATGTTTGCCAGAATAGTCTCGATTTCCTGACCTCGTGATCTGCCCGCCTTGGCCTCCTAAAGTGCTGGGATTACAGGGATGAACCACCGCGCCCGGCGCCACTCTTTCTTCTTCCTAAACTTCCATTCGCTCCACGATCTGCCGCAACTTGATTTCTACTCCTACTTTATGAAGCCCGACCTCTTTCCAGTATTTGACACCACTGCCTATTCTTCCATTTCCACTCTCTCTTCTTTGGGTTTCTCTGACATCACCATTCCTGTGAGAATTCCAAGTGACGAAAATTACCGAAAAGTTGGGAAACAAAATTACAATAAAGTGAGGCATGAGAATGGCGAAGGAGGTAAAGGTGAATGGAGATCGCTACTTTCTTAGCCGAAACTTGGGAAATAAAAAGAGTCACTCTGGGTCAGACAACAAAGTGACTGTGACTTTCTCTCCCGCTTCCCTTTCACCCTCTACCTTTCCCCATCCTTTGAGGGCCGGCAGGTACTCAGTGCAAACTAGAGGGTAATTAATTAGCACTCGACAGATGGCAAGGGCTGGCGGTGGATCTGCGAGTAGCACAGACTTTGCGGGTGGCGCTGATGGGGCGATGAGGCCCCCAGGTGGCCAGCTGAACCCCGGCGCAGGACAGACGTTGCAGCTCGGCGCCAGGCCGCTGGGCGGCGAACGCGTGCGCGAGTACGGGCTGGCGCTTCCGGCCCCGGCCGAAGTGCAGGTCGCCTCCAGAGGTCCTGGCGCGAGGTATTCTGGGGCTTCAGCCAGGCGCCGTCGCAGTCTCCCGGGACCGCGTGGGTTACCCGGGAGGTGGGTCCGAGGCTCGCCCTGTGCCCAGCATCGCGGCGTCTCCTTAGAGCGCATCTTTGGGTCTGGCCAGCGGTGCTGAATAGGGGAGAAGGTTGGGGGTAGGGAGGAAACATCCCAGTTCAATAGATTTCTCCGCAGATCCTGTGCCTTCAAACCCTGCGACCCCATACTTTAAAGCAAAATGAAGAAATTAAGGCTTAAGGAACTAGAGTGTCGTCTGCAACAAGTGGATGGATTCGAAAAGCCCAAGCTGCTTCTAGAACAGTATCCCACCAGGCCGCACATTGCAGGTAGGGCGGCTGGTTCACCACTCCCCTGCCTTCGGCGTTAGTCCAGTCTACTCTGTGATAAAAATAGAAGTTATTTGGATACAGAGAATGTCTAGAGAAATTTAGCCCTAAGATCACCTATCGCGTTAGAGAGTTCTTCCTTGACACTGCACCTCAAGGCACGCCCTCCACAGACGCACACAATTTATCGTTTTCCTGTCTAGTTTTCTGCAGGTCCCTTAACACTGCCAGACACTTTTTTAATGTGGTGGGTTTTGTTTTGTTTTGTTTTTTCCCACTTCTCACGCTATAAATTCTTTGAGGACAAGGTATTTGTTGGTCTCGTTCATACTTGAATTCCCAGTGCCTGGAACAGTTGCTGGTGGTACTATTTAGGAGCTCAGTAAATATTTGCTAAGTAAAGATCAATTTCCTATTGCAACTAAGGATTTTTGTGCTATACTGTGCCCTAGAAATGAATACTAGAGTTGATAGTGGAAGGGTTGTTTAACAGAATCAGAATATGTGCTGTATAAAAGTGGGTGTGCATATTAATTTTAACAGATTTTTCTGAGCATTCATGCCAGACATTGATAACTGGGAGTACAAGAGCAAATACAGGAAAACATCTATCTGTGTTACCGAAGTCATTGGGAAGCCTTAGAAAAAAATATTTTTATTAGTTTTTGAGATGGGTGTTTCACTCTGTCACCCAGGCTGGAGTGCAGTGGCATGATCATGCCTACTGCAGCCTTGACCTCCAGGACTCAAGTGATCCTCCCGCCTAAGCCTCCTGAGCAGCTGGGACTACAGGCACACACCATCATGCCTGGCTAATATTTTTTTATTTTTTGTAGACACAGGGTCTTGCTATGTTGCCCAAGCTGGTCTCAAACTCCTGAGCTGAAGTGATCCTCCCACCTTAGCCTCTTAAAGTGCTGGGATTACAGGCATGAGCCACTGAGCCTGGCCCCTTAGGAAAATTAATTTTCTGAAAGCACCTGGAAGGAGTTTTTTCCAGTTCCAAAATAGTCGTTTCTAAGCTGCCAATGAAAATCAAGGAGAATACATGTGTATTTACATTTAAACGTCAAGATATTGTATGATTCCAACCAAAAATTTGCTCAAAACTACTGTGTCTAGGTTAAGAACAATTTTCTGAAATAATGACTTACTAGTCTGCTGACTGTAGTTTTTTTAGCGGAATCCAATTTAAAAAATAGTAACAATCTGACCAAGTACGGTGATTGGTACTCACCCCTATAATCCCAGCAATTTGGGAGGCTGAGGCAAGAGGATGACTTGAGGCCAGGAGGTCAAGATCAGCCTGGGCAACACAGTGAGACCCAGCTCTTAAAAAAAATAGTAAATTAGCTGTGTGTGGTAGTATTCGCCTATAGTCCCAACTGCTATTACTAAGTCAGGAGAATCGCCTGAGCCCTGGAGCTTCAGGCTGCAGTGAGCTCTGATCCTGCTACTGCACTCCAGTCTGGGTGATAGAGATAGACCCCATCTCTGAAAAAAACAAAACAAAAAAACCCCTCTGGATCCTCGGGTATCAATGGCCAGCAGCCTTTACTGGATTCAGGTATCTTCAGGGAGATGTCAGTGGTGATGTTATTTATGTTTAACCTTCAGTATATCTAATACCCAGTAGTTCTATTATGAGGTCTCATTTGTAGATTATGAATATACATGTCTGTAGATCATGAATTGTGGAGCTTATGGTGCTTGTGTTCTGGTGACAAACTTGTTAAAACAAATTTCTGTGGCTGGGCACAGTGGCTCATGTCTGTAATCCCAACACTTTGGGAGGCTGAAGTAGGAGGATTGCTTGAGCCCTGGAGTTCCAGACCAGCCTGGGCAGCATAGTGAGACCCTGTCTGTGTTTTAAAAAAACAAAAGGAAAAAAGAAGGTTCTGTGTCTTTGTGATGCTAATGCTGGCTTGATAGTGGTTCCTAGTTTTACAGATTTCACAGATAAGTAAAATTTCAAATCAATTTTGGAAACTGATACGGAGTTGCCAAATTTATGTTGACGAGGAAGGATTTTTTTTAAAACCTATTTACTCTTACCATTCCTTCATAAAAATATTTCAGCATCACAGAAAGAACTGATATGAGTGTATGGCAATGTTTTGAACAAGCTGAGGAAAAAAACATTTTGACTTTTTTTTCCTCATTTTACATCAGAGACTGGTCACAGTTTTGTCATTCTTGGCATTGCTAACAGAGACTATTTTTTGAGAACCACTGGTGGGTATTAGCCTCCTCTGTGGTGCCTCTTCACTACATACCAAATTATTACACCTTATCTTTTTAAAAAAATAATCTGGAATGCCATTTGGGAAAGGACTAAGTAATGCAAGACAAGAAATTATTTTAGAAAGAATCATTTGCACAATTTGGTTTTAGTCATCAGCTTGCTTATTCTCTAGTTTTTATTTTTTAGCATGTATGCTGTATACAATCCATAACACTTATGATGACATTGAAAATAAAGTCG